TGATTCCAATTTTCCTAGCAGTTTTTGTGAAAGAACGAGTCCACACCCCAGTAACTGGGGTCTTTGTGTCTAATCAAACAGCAGGCTTCTTTATTCATTGACTTCTATGTGTGAGTACCTAATCTGTTCCTCCAGTTGACCTATTTTTAAAGCGTACCAAATAATATAATGTAATATAGTTTGTAATATAGTTTGAAATCTGGTACTGCTAGGCTACCATCATTTCCACTTTTTCCATTACTTCCCTTGACCTTTTTTTCTTTTATATGAATTTTATTTTTTTTTAGGTCTACAAAATAATCTTTAGGTAGTTTGATTGGTATTGTACTAAATGATTAAATGAATTTAGTTAGTGTTGTCATTCTTATATTGTTGGCTTGGCCTACCCATGAGAAATCAATATTTCTCCAATTATTCAGTTTATCATTATTGCTATAAAGAGTCTTTAGTAGTTGAATTCATGGGTATATCTAGGTAGGTAGTTACCCAAATATTTCATGCATTCTTTAGTTATTTTCTTTCTTTTTTTTTTTTTTTTTGGCTAGGCAATGGAGTTAAATGACTTGCCCAGGGTCACACAGCTACATGTCTGAGGCCAGATTTGAACTCAGGTCCTCCTGACTCCAGGGCTGGTGCTGTATCCACTGTGCCACCTAGCTGTCCCATTCTTTAGTTATTTTCAATGCATTTTGTCTTTCTGTCTTTTCTTGTTGAGTTTTGTTGATAATATACAGTACTGCTAATGATTCAAGTGGATTTCATTTATATATTGCAACTTTGCTCAATTTATTGTTTCAATTAATTTTAGTTGACTCTTTAGAGTTTTCTAAGTAAGTTATCAAACCATCTGCAAGAAGTGATTTTGTTTCCTCTTTGCCTATGTATATTCTCTTGATTTCTCTTTATTGCTTTATTGTTATAGCTAGCATTTCCAGTACTTTGTTAAATATTAGTAATGATAATGGGCATCCTTGCCTTACCCGTGATCTTAATGGAAAAGCCTCTAACATTCTCCAGTTCTTGATTTGAGAGAGTTATGATTTACTATATTAAAGAAAGGTCCATTTATTCCCATGCTTTCCAGTGTTTTTAATAGAAGCAGGTGTTGGATTTTGTGGAAAAAAACTTTTCAATTACTGATATAATAATGTGATTTTATTGTTTTTATAACTGACATGGTTTATTTTGTTTACAGTGCTCCTTATATTGAGCCAGCTCTACATTCCTGACATAAATCCAACTTAATCATAGTGTATAATCTTTCTAATATGGTATTTTGTGGCCTATTTTCTAACATTTAAAATTTTTTGCATTGATGTTCATTGGGGATATTGGTCTATAGTTTTATTTCTATGTTTTGTCTCTCCTTGGTTTAGATATTAAGATCATATTTCTATCATAGAAAGAGATTAGAAGGGTCACATCTTTTCTTACTTTTTTACAGTGTATGTAATATTAAAATTAATTGTTCTCTGAATGTTTGATAGAATTCACTTGCAAATCTATCTGTTCCTGGCATGTTTTCTTTAAAATAATTTTTAAAATTTATTTTTAACTTTTTTTTAAATTTGAGTTCCAAATTCTCTCTTCCTCCAGGCCCTTCCTTACCTATTGAGAAGACAAGCAGTATGATATCAATTATGCATGTGAAATCATCCAAAACATTTCCATATTGCCAAAAAAAAGCAAGAAAAATAAAGCAAGTGAAAAAAATTATGCTTCAATCTGCACTCTGACTTCATCAGTTCTCTCTCTGAAGTATATAGTATTTTTTATCACGAGTCCTTCAGAATTTTCTTGATTCATTGTGGTAATGAGTAGCTAAATCTGTCACAATTGGTCATCATTACAGTATTGTTTTTGCTGTGCACAGTGATCTCCTGGTTCTGCTCACTTCACTCTGCATCCATTCACATAGGTCTTCCCAGGTTTTTCTAAAATGATCCCCCTTATCATTTCTTATAGCACAATAGTATTCCAATCACAATCAATATACAACTTGTTCAGCCATTCCCCAATTGATGGGCATCCCCTCAATTTCTAATTCTTTGCCACCACAAAAAGAATTGCTATAAATATTTTTGTACACATAGTTTTTTTTTTCCTTTTTTCTTTGGTCTCTTTGGTTTATATGCCTAGTTGTGGTATTACTAGGTTAAAGAGTATGCATAGTTTTATAGCCCTTTGATTATAGCTTTAAATTGCTCTCCAGAATGGTAGGATCAGTCCACAACTCCACCAACAGATCATTACTATCTGGGGTATTTTTTTAGGGAGTTCATTTGTGGCTTGTTCAGTTTTCTTTTCTGATATTAGCTGATTTAAACAATCAATTCCTTTGTTAATGTGGCTATTTTATTTTTTCAAAGTACTCATTCATCAAAATGGGCACATGATTTAGACATAAAGGGTGATACCATAAGCAAGTTAGGGGATCATGGAATAGTTTACCTGCGAGATCTGTGGATAAGGGAAAAATTTGTGACTAAACGAGATAGAGAGCATTACAAGATATAAAATAATTTTGATTATATTAAATTTTAAAATTTTTGTACAAATAAGACCAATGCAACCAAGATTAGAAGGAAAACAGACAACTGGGAGAAAAAAATTTATAACAAGTTTCTGAGAGTTTTCATTGTAGGGTTTCTTTCTGGATGTCAGTGATAGATTCTTTTTATTTTCACTTTGCCCTCTGGGTCTAAGAGATCTGGGCAGTTTTTATCCATGATTTCTTGAAATACAACATCCAAAAAAATTTTTTTTTTAAGTGAGGCAATCGGGGTTAAGAGACTGGCCCAAGGTCACACAGCTAGTGTCAAATGTTTGGTCTGAGGTCGGATTTGAACTCAGGTCCTCCTGACTTCAGGGCCAGTGCTTTATCCACTGCGCCACCTAGCTGCCCCCTAAATTTTTTTTATTACAGTTTTCAGTTAGTCTAATAATTCTTACATTATCTTTCACTGACTTGTGTTCAGGTCAATTTTTTAAAAATATTATATTCCTTACATTTTTTTCTGTTCTTTTTTTCTATCTTTTGATGTTTTTTTTTTTTTTTGGCCCATTCTCATTTTTAGGATGTTTAGTTCTTGAATGAGGTTCACCATTGTTGGGGGTTCAAATTCTTTCTTTTTTGGCTCTTTTTTGCATCTCTTGTTAGATTTCTTCCAAGTACTCTTGTAATCCGTTTTAGCTATTTTTTCCCCTGAGGCTGTCATAGAGCCTCAGACATGTTCTGTCTGGACATGTCCTGAGGTTACTTTTTCCTTTGGGGGTCACACTTTGGGCTTCTCTCTCTCCATGGCATTTTATCATAGCATTTGGCATTTTCTTTGGTTTGCTCATTTCAGCATCCTCAGAGTCTGGGTTGGGGGTTGGGAATTGAGGGTTGGGGAGCTCTACATGAATTGAACCCTAATTTGTAGTGTGGGCAGGCCTTATTTGGGCCTGAGCCTGGTGGCTAAAATGAGGCCCCCACCTTCTACAAGAATCTCCTGCTGTGGTTCAGACCCAGGCTGCCTGGATGCTGAGTTGAACCAGGTTTACTTAGATGCTGCTCAGGGCCATTTTTCTGCTATGGTCGGGACTCCAGGCCCCCTGCTTCTGCGACCTTTTTCTGCTTGCTGCTACGAGACTCCTACTCCCGTTCTAGACCATGCCCAAGGCCTTTCTCCCGCTTTTTAAGAGCTGCAAGTGGTTCCCTGCATTGTTCTCTGCCTATGTCTTTGTCTACTTTCTCTTGTTGCCGCGGGGGTCCAGGGCTGTCCCCGAGATAGACACTGCCTAGGTCATGAATTCCTAACCTTTAAAAAAAAATAATGTTGATATCTTTTATTTATACATCATCTGAATTTCCTTTTATCTTAATCTTGTTTTGTATCTAGACCCCTTTGGCAATCTGGTGAAGCTTATGGACCCCTTCTCAAAATAATATTTTTAATATTTTCAAGAGAAAAAGTTCGAAGCCAGGGGTTTTTAACCAGGGGGTCCCAGATGCCCAATGAGTCTGTGGATAAATTTCAGGGAGTCCATAAACTTGTTTTTAAATTTTTTTAACAACTTTATTTCAATTGAATTGGTTTCCTTGGTAATGCTTTGTATTTTATTTTATGAATTTAAAAATAAGGGGATTGGTTTTAATGGCTTCAAAGTCCCTTTTAGCTCTAAATCTACGACCTTTGGTGCAAGAGGAAAAATAAAAGTTAGAGTCAGGACTGAGATTTAATCCCCCCTGTGCCCTGACTACAAGGTGTGACCTTGGACAACCTCCGCAGGCCTCAGTTTCCTCAGTTGTCAAATGATGGAGTCAAACTTGGTGATCTCTACAGTCCCTTCCTGCTCTGACTTATAATTTTATGAATGCTGACACATTCCAGCTATGTCAGACCAAGTGATTTAACTTCTCCTTTTCTCCAGGCTGCTCTCTAGGCTAGCTGCCAAACAGCAGTTTGGGAGGGAATTTCTACAGTGGAAATTCCTACTGTAGAAACACCACTATTCCTGAAGCCGATAAAAATCAATTGCCCTGTGCCAGAGGAAACTGAGACCTACAGAGGTTGTCCAAAGGCACACTTTGCAGTCACGGCACGCAGCGATTAAACCCCGGTCCTGACTCCAAGACCAGGCCCTGTCCTACCTTGTTCTGGAAGGAACCTGAGAGGTTATCGAGTGCCACCACCTCATTTGACAGCTGAGGGAGCTCAGGCCCAGAGAAGTTATTGATTTGTCCAGAGCCACCCAGGGAGCAGGAGTCCAATATGGGACTTTCCATTACGCCAACATTCAAACCCAGGCCTTCCTGACTCCAAGGCTGGCCCAGTAGCTATTACGCCATGCTTCCTCTTCCTCAGACGTGTTTTATCCTTCTTAGTAGAATGTACGTGTCTGGACAGCAGGGTCTGTTTTTTACTCTCCTTTGTATCACCAGTATGTAGCACAGTGCTTATTGACGAATTGATTGATTGATCCCAATTTCCCGGTCCTTGTGGCTTTTCCTGTAGGACAACGCCTGGTTCAGAAGAATGTGGGCGTCAGCCTCTCTGTAGGCAATGGACGAGATACCAAGATGGTGTCTTGCCGGACTCAAAGCAAAAGGACTGTCCCTGCCATTCTACCAGGCCTGGGGCCAGGCCGCAGGTTGGAGCTGGGGAGGCCTGTGGTCAGCAGGAAGCTCTCGGCCTTGGTTCAGACCAACCTGGCTCCTGCTGGCCAGCCCCTGCAAGATGCCACAAGCCTGGTGAGTAACTCTGGCTTTGAGCAACAGAGTAACCTGCAACCCCGGGCCTGGAGGCCAAGGGCATCTGGGCCTTGGAGAGGGTTTTCCTTCCAGCAAAGCAACATGAAGCTGAGCAGAGCAGACCCGGAGAGGAGAGGGGGACACAGGAGTCCTCAGACACTAGAGAGGTCAGACGGGAACCTGGCAGGTTGCTCGCGGGAACTCTTGTGGCCCCGACGTTCTGGAAGTGCTTCCTGGCTTGGCAGGCCAAAGAGCCAGACCCACGGATACCCATTTCCAAGGGATAAACCATCATCATCTTCATTCCCTAGCCTTGGGAACACTGTGCAGGTCTCACCAAAAGCCACAAAGGCTCAAGGGTCTGAGCTGAGCCCTCCCCCTCGGTCTGGGCATCAGGATTGTCTTGTCCAGCCCAGCCCAAGACTGCGGAGTACCTCAGGTTGCTGGGCCCCAGATCCCGTGAGATGGCCCCTCACCTTGGAGGACCTGGGCATCTCGGGCCGACACCAGCGATCAGCTCACCCCCCGGTCTCGAGACCCAGAACTAAGCTTTCCCCATCCCGCCTGCTCTTGTCCATGAGGCACCTTGAGTGGCCAACAGAGCTCCTCAGAACGTCTCAGGAGCAACCCAGAACCTGGCCCCACTCGAACAGGGTCACTTCTCCTGAGGCCTCTCCAACCTTGACACCAGGGCACCCCAGTCCCCTCACCCACCCCTGCAGGGCTGCGCCTCCAGAGGCTGCCCCTCACCTGACACCAGAGCACCCCAGCCCCCTCACTCTCTCCCACAGCACCGTGAGTCCAATGATTTCCCCAGATCTGACAC